GCGTCCATCAGGGCAACCGAGGTCGACGATATCCATCGTCTGTGTTTTGGGCTTGTGCCAGAGTCCGACGTTGTTTCTATCGATATCTCCATAGCTTCCTTGATTTGCTTCCAGTGTTCATTGAGTCCTTTGACTGGCGGTTGAACTGACAGGCGATCGAAGAGCGCCGCTTCGAAGGCCGATTTGCATGAATCGCTGACACTGTATCGCGGATATCCGTTGTCGGTGGACTTTTTCGGTTGCTTGCCAGACCTAAGGAGAACTTCGCTCGTAAAAAGGCGTGGTCTATGTCCACAGCTGTTGACTAGTAAGAGCGGCAGTCTTGAATTGATCCCCTCATCCGGTAACTAATGGCGATGTGGTCGATTTGAGTCCAGCACTGTGAAGAGGTTGTCGGTCTCCATGTAAGTCGATGGCGTTTCTTGTGCGAGAAGTTCGTGCTTGACAGGAACAATCCGTGATCCATGTTGAGTTGAAGTAGGCAATCTCCGCTGTCCGTCCGGTTGGCTGGGATTGCGTGTGGTCCACCAAGAAGCCTTTCCGGTTCGTCCAGGGTTCCCACTTGAGCATTAAAGACCCCGGCGACTACTACGACGTCCGTTGATTGAGCACTTTGGAGTAGTTGTGAGAGATTCTGGTAGAATTCATCCTTGATTTCCGGTATACTGCAATCGGTTGGTGCATACACCGATACGACGAATAAGCATTGACGCTTTATTCTGTAGCCGTTGCCTCGAACTGAACCGTTGAGACGCACAGCGCACAATTGGCTACTGACTGGAAACCAGTCAAGAAGCGAGCGCTCAGCCTTGGCACTTAGCGCAATCCCGACACCAGCAACATCGCGAGCGTCGGATGCCGAATCGCCTGACACACGAAGGGTGAAGCCTGAGGTTGGGGTTGGTTCAGGAGAACGCAGAGAGCTAATGGAAGTAGGGTCTTGTATGCGTGTTTCGGAGACACAACATACATCTACATGGAAAGTTTCGAGGCTTTTAGCCAGGGCAGCTTGTTGGCCAATCTGATAGAGTGTACGGACATTGAACGTGGCCAAGTGAAAGGGCGATATTGGATTTAAAAGTCCTATAGCTTCTGAATCTCTGGCCTTGGTGGTAAAACGCTGAGTGATATTCGATGAGTGGCGTAAACAGGAGGCATCTGGGATTAAACAAGGTTGAGAAGAAAGACTACACAGATGGGAGGGATCGTTTTCCAAATGAGTGCCTAAGACTTTAGGGCACGGCATGCTTCGCGGGGGCCCACACCGACGAAGGGGTTTCTCTTTGGAAACCCTAACCGGAGCCTTTGACTCAAGAGTCTGACCCACAAGGCAGTGGGGCGTAAATCCAACGCGGTAGCGCGAACGAAGCACCCGTGTGGGAGCTCCTGGAGAGCTGTTACGCAAGGCCTTTGAATTTCGATTACTTGTGTTGTTCGCTGGTGCGTTGATTATCGGTCCGCTATTCGGGATCAGCCCTTAGTCTCATGCACCCAATGAGACAAACGGAACATGGACGGGACAGCACCTTATTGGCTGGGGGCTACCCAGTTTGGGCGGGCGGTAGCTGTTCAATGAAGTGCGAAGACTTCTCCTACCATCGAGAGGAAGCCCCAGGTATCCCTCTCCTACATCCATCTAGCGGGTTTTATGATCGGTAAACTGCCCTTCACCGTGTTTATTTGCTGGAGTGGCCTCTCCAGGGGCGGGTGTGGATAGAAGAAGCCAGGTGGCGCCCAAGCAGCTGGCCTTGAGACTTATCTTCGCCTGGCCTCTACCAGTTGGTCTTTTGGGCTGTGAGAGGCCATCCTGTGTAGCTCGTAGGGTCATGGAGGTATGCAAGCCATCACAACACGTCAAGGTGCAGGCTCGTCGTGATGGGTCGTACCCTATTAGTGACACAAAACGAGATAGTTCACCATAAGCCATAACCTCGCCTGAGGTCTGAGAATAGAGTGATTCTACAAGCAAGAAAAACGGCTCGGATAATCAGCATCTCACCGAGCAAGGCTATCTATGGAGGCGAAAGTCGCTCTTATGTCCAAAAACAGCAATAGTTTGTCACGTACATATGTGTGGCGGTGTTGTGGCAGCTGGTGAATATTTGATCTATGCAGCCACGAAACTCGCCCTCCTTGCGGATTCTTCTTTCGCGAAATAGGCTTCCGTTGTGAATTCCCGGAGAAAATTTACCTGCTTTAGCCTGGGTAACTCGGCAGTATTCCATAAATAAACATATTAAGGAACTGTCTTTTTTTTTACAAAGATAACTGTTCTATGATTTGTTTAGTATAGTCTAGATTCAAACGTGTGTGCAAAACACGGGCTTAATCCGTGTAATAAAACGAGCTACATGGGTATTCGAATCAGACTAATGACCCTGTGGTGGGAACAAGCATTGCGATAGTCCTTCTTAACAAATCCAAAGAAGTCAAAGAAAGAACGCAGTCACGGCAGATGATAGATGCCGAGGAATCAAGATAAATGACTAGAACTGCGGGAGTAATTGAAAACTGGAGAAGCTTCTCTAACCGACAAGAACGGGAGATATACATATTGCCGAAGACAATCGATCGATAGTTACTCAGGTGTTTGGGCTCGCATTTGTGTACGGAGGATCAAATATAACCAGTGGAGTGAGTGAATGCTCGCTTCACATTCTTGCACCAACCGTCATTGAATCAAGTCACCAGGCCTCCTACACGCTTTCGACTTGGTAGACCCGTCAACTTCAGTAAACCGGTCAACAATATAACCATATAACCAGGTTACTTGTAGCAGGATTGCGCCTATATTACAATATTCCATATGGCGAAAAAGATTAGATATATATGGTAATCTCCCACATAAAGCATTGACGTCGTT